GCAGTCGACTACATTTTGAGTGTGCCCACCAGTGTTGCATACCCCGACGGTCGGCGGCCCTTGACTGGTCGGCTGGTCTGCACCTACCGGTCGGGGGTCATTGGCACCCCGCCAAAAAAAGAAAAAAGAAAAAGAAAAAGGGTCCAGAACCCCTAATAACCCCACCGACTCCCCCATACCCACCCCTAATGCCCCTTCACATCCCCCTAACAACCCCAAACCGCCCCCCACCACCCTCATTATCCCCCCCAATACCCCCTATACCACCCCCGTACCGCCCCTATACCCCCTATACAAGGGAAAAAACATCCCAACAAAACAGAACAAGAAGATTCCTGGTTGTCACATGGGGAACCCCGCCCAAACCGGGGGATGAGGTACCCACTGAACCCAGGGTGGAGGACCCCTGATTGGAGACTAGGGGCAGCGGGGGTCCAATTCGGGGCAGCATGCCAAGCTGCTCCATGAGTTCCCCATGGGCCTGGGGAACCACTGAGAAAACCCAGGTTTGGGGTGTGGAAGCGCCAGCCCAAAAATTTAGGACGCTGCAACCCACAGGCCACTGCCCTCACCCCCGCCCCCAACCCCCCTTGCTGTTTCTCACTGGCGCCCACATGAGACGCCAACATGAGAAAACACACACAGCCGCCAAAACCCCACTGGCGCAATGTGCGCCTCCTACTACTAGTTAAGACTACTACTCTCCCTCTCCCTCTCTCCCATTCTTTGTTCTCTGCACAAGGCACAGCAGCACTCCAGCAAGTGCAAGGCAGAAAAATGAATAAGTGCCAGATCCCACAAGGCCCTATTGTTCATTTCTGACCGTTCATCTTCGTAATCGAGGGTAGTGGGATCTGACCCTAACTGAGCTGGGACAGGCCAATCTTTTGTATTGTTGACTCTGCTGAGCCTGCCTCACTTCCCTCCTTGAAAGGCCAAGATTCCCCTATATCAATCGCCCAGATTTTCTCCCTGCCTGAGTCTCACTTGACCCCGTAAGCACCGGGTGCATCTAGAATCACACCCCATGCCTTTGGGTTGTGGTCATGTGTACCAGATTTCATGACCTTGTAAATATAATCAAAGCGTATTTCAGCAAAAAGCTGTATCAAGAATCGTTGTTTTTCACTGTTTTTCTCAGTCTGGACTCCTGACTGACTCCTGGGAAAGTATTTGACCCCTTGATTTCTACCCGATAGGGCCTCACTGATGACTTTCCTAGGGCCTGACGTTTGACTTCTGGAGACCCCAGGTGCCTCGATTTGACCCCTAACCCCAGGTCTACCAACCTAAGGCCTAAGGGCTTTCTGAGACCTGCCTCGACGCCCTAAGACAGACTTTTGACCCCAGAACTTTGACTTGGCCAAGAACTACAACGTGCAGACCCTTGCAATGCTGGTTTTAACCATGGTTCTTTCGGACGTCCAGGGCAAATTGCCTGGAGATAAAAAACATCGGTTCTTTAAACTTCTTTCGGATGTCCAGGGTTTTAACCATGGTTCTTTCAGTTGTCCAGGCCAAAAACTACAACGCGCAACCCTTGCAATGCTGGTTTTAAGTTTAAACCATGGTTCTTTCGGATGCCCATTGCCCAGGGTAAAATGCCTGGATCTCCGGGCCCGAACACCATGACAGCCTACGAACAGCATCAGGGGTATAGATTGAGAGCTGATCCATTTGGGAGAATTTTTTAGGAAATCAAAAATATTTTCTGGATGGAAAACTAAAAGTTCTGACAACAAAAATAAACATATCTTTGCTTCCTGCTGGATCGGGTACACTAAAAACTTTTTTGTCTATGTGCTCCAGCCTCCAGGCTATGGAAATTCGATAGGTCCGTTGAAATAGCTTGCACAGCAGTGGTGGTTTAAACCACCAGTACCCCAGGGGGTCTTAGGCCCCCTCTGGGGAGGCTCTGATACAAATGCGTATGGACCTGCTCAGCGCACAGATTCAGCCACCGATTTAACGGCCTAAAAACATGGAGGTACTGGTGGGTTAACAAAGAGACACCTTAGCGGCAGGGACATAAAGTGGACGACGAGCAGGAGAGGAAGGAGGCAGAATTACAAAACAAACAACAGAACAGAAAAAGCACCGGTACCAATTTGCATAAAGAGAACAGAAAACAGAGGAGAAGCAGTCCTTCAGAAAGGGAGGGACAGAGAAGAGGAAGATTTTCAAAACAACCACGTCAGCATCTGTGAAGCCGCTCCACATAGAAGCAAAGACACCACCACCAATTTGCATACTTGCAAGCTTTAGTAACCAGAAGAGAGTGAGCGAGCTGAAGGCGGGGGGGAGATGAAACATGTTATGGTGCTCCTCTCTTCAGCTACATACAAGGCTGATGCTCATGGACAAAAAGAACAAATATGTCCTACCTGCAGGTACTGCCCAAGCGTCAGGATGTCCACGCCAACGTCACGAAGGTCTTTCATCGTCTCCTTCACTTCTTCATCCGTCTCCCCAAGGCCTAGCATAATGCTAGACTTCGTCACCATTCCTTCGCGAACACCCTTTGCATGCTTTAGCACCTTCATCGTCTGCTCATACCTGCATCCATGAGCAAATGACCAGTTGTCCAGGCAAAGCAGGGCAGCCTGCCCTACAGCATCTATCCAAAGCAAATGACAATCGCCATTTGAAACTAGGCAACATCACCAGCATGACATCAAAATAAAAAATCAACAAACGCGCAAGAAGACAACAGATTCAATCCAATCAAAATCAGAATATGATGCTCTGTACCTCAACAGCTGCACAAATCGACGTCCATTATGCTGAACACGCAATGTATGCAAAACACACACACACACACACACACACACACACACACACACACACACACACACACACACACACACACACACAATCGATGGTAATCAAGAGATGAAGCTGACAACAACAAGTATAAAGCTGCTGCTACCTCTTATAGACTGGTTAACAGGGCGCCCTTCCACTTTTCAGTTGGTTCGCCGGAAGCTTCTTTCCCTGTCCACAAAGGTTGGTCTGCTGGTTCAATATGGAGCATGGAATCAGGAGTTACCTGTTGTAGATGGCCTCCACATGGAGAAGATTGACAAATACCAGAAAGCAGAATTGCCAGCGTCAATCATTTCTCCGAGCTTGCGATGACCGCCCATAACTGTCATCGGACCCTACTTTACCCCCCAACCATTTCCAGCAGGTGCTACCTGGTAACCCGTAACCTTCCCCCCAACTATTCCAAGGGGTACTCCATCCCTGCTACCCATTCCAGGCAGCCCACTCAAGGAGGATTTCACAAATGCTGCTCTACACCAAGATCTGTCATTGCAAAGTTCCTAAAGTCCCCTCCCTCAGTCCACAGCAAGAGAAAGAAAGGAGGAGTCCGTTCTCAGCAGCCATGCCTATACGAAAGTGCACTGCAAAATTTAAAAAGAAATAGAAAAAGTAATCTGTGCTAGCATACAAAAGGCACCATCATTTTCCCTGGTCGTACTCACCGCAAGTGCCACATCTGAAATGCAAATGACGCACATAAAATGAACGAGAAACAGAAACACGTGGCAAGGAGCACTGCCTCAAGAATCAACGTCGCTATGAGCTTTCCAACAACAAGTTCAGAACCCACACTATGCTGCCGTCTTCACCCGCATAGAACGCCCGGTCACTATAACCGTATCTGGTGCAGTTTTCTGTCTAGATGCAGCGACAATGACCGGGCGTTCTATTCGGGTGAAGACGGTAGCCAGCGCTAGAATAGCTCTGACTTGTGCATTTTCCCTCCCAGGTTCATCCTTTCTAAGCAAGCGCATAGCACAAGTGGGGTCTGGGGCTAAGGCACAGCTCAAAGGGGGACAAATTAGTAACATATATAAGTGGCGTAATCGAATGGAGATCTGCGGAGTTGAGTGCAGCTGGCAAAAAGGGTTCAGACTCACCCGGCTCTACGATCTCGGACGATTCGCTGCAGTCTTTTGACAGTTTCAATGTTGTGCGCAAATACATCAAGCCCAGACAGTGCTACACACTGCACAGCCTCCAAATCTCCCCGGAAGTCTGGAGTCAAACACTCCACCAAAATATCTGGTCGCAGTGCCTGCAAGGTATCACCCACACATCAAACGTCAATACTACACAACATTTACAGCTGCCATCAACACTCAGATTCAATGATCCCATCGTCATACCATCTGAGGTGCTGGCAGGTATAAAGCCACATAGCGTTCTACCAGGTCCTTCCTGTCCAGTAAGGAAGTCAATCCCCTACATATGCAGGTACAAGGGCCATATACTGTTAGAAAATCCACAATGTCTGTATCTCAGATCCATAGCTAGACATATTCAAAAAGGGATTCCTGCACAAAAGGGGATCGAGGCCCGCATCTTACCACATGGGTCAAATAACCAATTCCCCCAAAAGACGAAGGTGAAGACGAAGACGACGACAACGACGACGACGAAGAAGAAGAAGAAGAAGAAGAAGAAGAAGAAGAAGAAGAAGAAGAAGAAGAATCCTGGTCCAAGCCATAGCTCGGCTGTCATGACCTGGATTGCAGCTGAATCTTCTGATGCAGTCCAGGTCTAATGTCCAGGCTCCGCTTAGCCCATGAACATTGGCAGGTTCTAAGCCACATTCATGCACCGTTAGCAAACAATAGCAGAAGCGCACACAGAACCTCACTCGGTGGCTTCCTACTAGAATGCTCTCCCATATGGTTGATAGGGTCAGCAATAGTTGATAGGGTCAGCGACAGTCGATCGAGTTCATTTCAAAATGGCTACGGAGTGCACTGGGGACACTCATGGTCAAACATTTCTTGGTCTAAAAGTTCGAACTCTCGACCTCTATCCACATTCCGTTGCCTCCTTGTACCGCCAAGTGGACAGAGGTTGAGAGTTCAAACCTTTAGACCATACGTGTAGATTTCGATCTAAAGGTTTGAACTCTGGACTGGGAAGACTCAGAAGATTTAGGTCTGAACTCTCCTACTGCTTCCTCCCAGTCGAGATTTACCGACAGCCATACGTGTATAGATTTACAGAGATCCACACACGTACAGGGTCAAGGGTTTCACTCCTGATCTGAGCCATTCACTGCTATTCTGATTGAATTGGCGGTTGATCATAAGAGCAGAACGGATGTTACAGATTAACCTTCTCTGAAAATGGAACGTGTTTATGTATGCGGTCCATAATGCGGAGCAAAGACCACCTCTGAAAATCGAACGTGGTTATGCATGCGGTCCATAATGCGGAGCAAATCCCTTTTCATGAAGTTTTCATCCGACCGCAGCCCCCTCGACAACTTGAAAACAAACTGACAAAGCAAAGAGTGGAGAGAAAGAAGGATCTTGAAAGGTATGGTGAAGAAAGCCAAGAAAGAAGTTCTGGCAGATAGGCACACCTTCAGAGTGCTGACGGTGCGCGCAAAGTGTGTACTTCCCCCATCTGGGAGGTCATCCCTATCCACACTCGTCAGCACCACGTAGCCGACACTGCAAAATAGCATATATAGAAAGACGACACACAACAATTATCTTCAGCATCTGCTTCTTCAAAAATGGATCTTCCCCCTTTCTGAATCCTTACCACACACTTGACAGGGAAGTAACAGCATGTCGCAATGCCGGTGACATCAGTTTGCACACAGACAAGCTACAGCAAATCAGGGCGAATTATACGCGCGGTGACCCACAAACCCCCATGCGCGGGGCGTATTAAATCACCACAACCTGCTGAAAAGTCAGGCCAACCCCCTGCCGACAGCCAAATGAAAACCAAAACTATATCAACGAGCCTAGTTCGGTTGGTACACCGACAAACTGTTGAAATACAGACCCAACTTCGAATCCAGTCACAATCATACTTCTCAATTACCTGGGCCCAGTCGGTTCAACCATGATATCTCCAGGCCCTCGCTCTTCAATATATATACTCTATATATCGTCAAACAGAGCTCCCCAGTAAACCGTAGGCCGAGAGGGAGACGAGGACATATAAAACTGTGCCCAACTGTGCCCAAAGGATCAGGAGTCTGACGGATCAATCACATGAATAAGGGCAGACCTCAAAACCAGAGTGGTTATAAAAGATAGTGGTGGGGTTTAAGAAGGGGTTTGGCGCGTCTGGGGGATCCACGCAGTCTCAGGGTTTGGCACGTCCGGGGGATCCATGCAGTCTCATGCAGACAGCTTTCTGGAAAAGGCAAGGCCGCGGCCATCCTGACATTTTTGTGCCCTTCGTGGGCTCCGAGTCACATTCTGGCCCTCATTTTTTCCCCACTCATTTTCGTTCTTCCCATCCCTCCGTATTGATACCTGTTTCTTTCTCTTTCTTATCCCTTTTCCCCTATTTTCCTTTCTGACAGCGCGGGGGTCCGAGACAACCTCCAGAGATCCCCCCCTCCATTTGACGGTTCCCGCAGCTCTGAAGGCTCCAGGCATTTTGATGGCGAATTGTCGGTGGTTTGGGGAGGGACGAGGTATCGTTTTGTGCGGTTTCAGCGCCTGAAAAAGAACTCCATGACTATGCCATCAACAGGAGAAGATGCAAAAAAGGGTTCACACCAAGGCTACCAGCCGGGGCCGCCCGCATCATCCTGTTTCCCCGGGCGGCCCGACCGTGCAAGGACCAGGGGGGAAGGTCCCAGCAAAAAAAAGAACCAAAAATTTCCAAAATATCCCCAAAACAACTGCGTTATGCAGAAAAATAAACTAAACAACTTTTGCCTCACGATCACATCGAAATTCTTTACCTGTTTTTTTCTTCTTCTTTTTTTTTTTTTTGCCCATCCGGGCAAGTGGTGCGGGGCCACTCTGGTAGCCTAGGTTCACACACACCATCGCATCACATATGGGGATACTACCCAAGGAGGAAGAACAAGGGAGACTCAACGAATGATTCATATTCACTCCATGATACGGTTGCACAATCAGTCCAGATACAGAAACTCATGCCTGAGAGGAATGTGGCCGGATATATTAACAAGTTCATTTATAACGCTCCTACGTTAATTGGAAGAACGCAAAGGTATTCACTAATCACCGCTCATGCCTGAGAAGAACGTACGGGTAGTCACTAATTATTTATTACTTAATTACTAATTACTAATTACCGACTGCTTGGGTGAGGCGCTGTCACGGCTTTTCTCGTTCAAAAAACCCAGACACAAGTGTACGTTTTGCTGAAAAGAGTTCTCCGTGTTTTCAACTCATGTATACATATACATAAGATTGATTGGCAATTGCAAATTGCAAGTGTGGAGAGAGAGAGCTGAAAAAGGGAGGAAAGGACCTGACGAGGAAGGCACGCACCCCCACTGCGCAATGGCCCGCGCCGTATTCTCTGGCTCCATATCGTCCGGAGGTGGAGGCGTACGGCTCGTATTAACAGCACAGAAACGACAGCCTCTCGTGCAGGTATCCCCTAGCAGCATGATTGTTGCGGTCCCGATCCCATCCCCCTCTCCACCTGCACCTCCACCACCATTCCAGCACTGCAAAAAAAAACACACCCAAACAAATTGCTGGCATCATTATCATCACCATCACCACCATCGCTATCGTCATCATCACTAATCATCACCATCACCATCGTAATCATCATTCTCATCATCATCATCATCACCACCAATATCATCATCATCATCAATAAAGTAAGATCGACATCATCGTGACAATGACCATGATTATCAGCATGATCATCAGCGTTGTCATAGCCATATACACGCAACGGATAAAGAAGCAAAAAACTGCGCCACTGGAAAACCACCAACCATTTTGCAGCCATTAAACATCCACATGACTGCTCATACCTAGTCATCTTCCATCTCTCTCTCTCTCTCTCTCTCTCTCTCTCTCTCTCTCTCTCTCTCTCTCACACACACACACACACACACACACACACACACACACCACACGCGAGCACACACAATATAACATATATGCACAAAAAAGAGCAACGAAAGACACACTGTGGCATTTACTTATCATCCCAATGAAACCAGTGGAAATCAACCTCCAACAACTAAAGGCGAGACCATTGCTTCAAATTACAAGACCGTTCTTCAGCATCACATGATCTTCGAAAAAGTTGTCTGTAAATCACGTCGTTGCCAAACACTGACTTTTACCTTCGTCACTCAAAACGAAAGAACGGCAATGTACATTATCCCGCATCAGAACAGGAGCTAATACTGTAAATGGTCCGCACGAATAATACTACAAACCTCGACGACATTCATGGTCGTCCTCTGCTAGCATCGAATGTCATCCAGGCAGACAATCTGCTTGACGAGGCGAGAACGATCTCGCCGGCATCATGAATGATGATTTTTCGTCCACTTGCAATCTTTACAGCCTCGAATTGAAGGCATGGGATTTAGTATTTCCGCAGCTGCAGCATTTACCCCGCGGGTCGCCCACACAGTATATTTCCGGGCAGAGTTTACCCATGCGTTCTTTTTGAGAGGAGCATTTAGGGTTTCTACGGCTACCGTCTTTAACCCGAATACAACGTGCGGTCATTATTGCTGTATTAGACTGAAAGATACCCCAAATACATAACAGCTATAATGATCGTACGCTGTAGTCGGGCGAAGACGGTACTCCTTTTTCGCCGAACTAAATGATCCATCATTCATCAGGCAGGTATACAAACCCTGTTCAGGTCCAAATACAGCCATGATAAGGCACATTGTGTTCCAGGGAAGAACGACGGAGCGCATCGCTCACATTGCCCCGAAAGTGCTTCTTATTAGCTCCTCTCGTTTCGCCTTTTATATCTTCCACCTCTCTCTCTCTCTCTCTCGCTCGCTCTGCCACATTCGATCAGTTGGCGCGCACTCCTCACGTGGTCAAAAGTACCCCTTCCCTATTCATCCCTCCCAATCTTCAGAAAAGAGAGTTTCAATCACACTCCGCTCTGTTCCGCTTGGCGTCACTTTACGGTACTCTTAACCTTACCCCAGAGACTGATCTTTCGCTCTCTCCACCACCTCCCTCTGCCCTCACCTTTCTCATCCAATACCCAAAGCAAAAAACGTTCGAATCCAGCCCACGTGGCTAAACGTTCGAATCCAGCCCACGTGGCTTTTTTTTGCCTCACAACGAACAGTCAATCGCTCTCACTGTTCGTTGTGAGGCAAAAAAAAAGGAAAATCTACTATGAACAGCCACAAAGGATATGGAACCCAGCCCACGTGGCTGAACGGTACACGCGACAGCCGATCACCAGCTCATCATTTCGAATCCTGACGGAATCACGTGCATATCCCGATGCCACCTATTTCTTCCAAAAAGCGAAGAAGGAAAGAAAAGAAGATGTGAATCACTTACACGTGATGCGCAGGGTCTTTAGCAAAAAAAAGTGGTCGAGACGGCGCGTTAAGGTGGGGAAGAAATTTGGACCGCGAGAGGCAAAACAAACGCCGGGTGGAAACGACAAAGCTCGGTGAAAGAAAGGAGTTGAGGATAAGTGGGGGAAGCGCGGTGGACACAGCGACGAGGATGAGAAAAGTCAAGTGGACAGGGGGCCGGCGAGAGGTGGGCAGAGAGAGTTAGGCGGAGAGAGGCGGGCGGATAGAGGAGAGCTGCAGCAAGAGAGATGGGGTGAAGAAACGAAGGTCGGGAGAGATGGGGGGAGAGATGGGGGGAGAGATGTATGTGGAGAGGTAGGTCGAGAGAGGTAGGTGGAGGGAGGTAGTGGGGAGAAAGGGTTGGAGGGAGACGGCGGGTAGGTGATTGGACATCAATCAATCCCAAATGAGACCGGCATATTGCTCTCCGGCGAGCGAGCAATATCTGTAAAAGGTTATACCAGTAATAATAGGCAGATGAGAAGTCACCCATTGAACGCCGGCGCAACCTGCGAGCGAGGAGAGCAAGAGGAGAGGAGCAGAGGACGAGGAGAGAAAACGAGGACAGAACCAGGGCAGGAAAGACAACTACAGCACACAAAGAGTGGAATAGAGAGGAGAAGAAAGGAGAGGAGAATGAGACACAAACGGGAGAAGTAGAGAAAGAGAGGGCGGCGAGAGAACGCGGTTGAGCACCCGTGCGCACGCCATGGGGAGGGAAATCAGAGAGCGCATCAGTGAATTTTCTTCAGCAGCCGCGATATCCTTGTCGCGGGAAGGGCGCAGTGGTGCAGAATCACTGATTGATTGAGAGCATACTGTAATTACAGCGTAGCTTATCAAAACCATATTTCGATTTGCACGCCTCTCTCGACGCTGTCTTAACCAATGATTGCCGCGCTACCGACGGGAAAAGATCAAGATGGCAGCAGCAATCATCGGATTCTTCCAGATCGTTCACAACCTCGTCGCATTGTACTCTGCGCTGTTCCAGGTTGGAACACATTTGAAACAGATTTGAAACGCATTTGGAGCAGATTAGGAACAGATTCATAACAGATTTGGAGCAGATTTAGAGCTGGTCGAGACTACCGTACGAACGAGATCCCTACTTAGTGCAATCAGTATATATACTGGCGGTCTACACCATATCAAACCTCCTTCGCTGAGTGAATCAGTCATTTCCATCTCATCGAATGTGTGGAAATCCCGACTTCTTGTCTTCCAGAACATGTATGTACGCATTGTTTAGTGTCGGAGAAATGCTCGACGGGAACTTGGCCATTGCTTGTCACTATTCTTCCATCCTAGGTAAGCGGTACTGGTAAAGCTTTACACATCCTCAATCAACACATTCAAGTCCCGAATTCGGCTTTGTCGTCATTACGCGCGAATTTCCATCTCCGAGAATAAAGAAAAAAAGAACGAAAGAAAAACACAATTTCTTGCACACAACTTCTGAATATCCTAGACCTGCTCGCACTGCGATCCATTTTACCTATTGCCCAATCAATCCAATCACTTCTCCGGGCCCAATCAATCCAATCACTTATCCGAGCCCATCAATCCAATCACTTATCCGGGCCCAATCAATCCAATCACTTCTCCGCAACGCAATATAACTACTAATCGCAATGATTCTTCACCTCAGCAACGAATAGCTCTAACATTAAACCCCATTATAACCAGGGAAAAATCGAACACAACAGCGAAGGCAGTGGGAAGAGAATGCGAGCACACTCGCGAAATGCCGACGTAAATTTCCGATTCCTCCACCTAACGTTTTCCAATTACTCATCCAAAGAAAGAAATACAATACCTTCTTCACTCATCTTACATAATTACCTACATCTTTCATTCCCTCCTTGCGTTCCCGCCTTCCTTCCTTTCAGGTCCTTCACCATGATCTCCTTTTTTCTTCCTCTTTCACTTCTATCCTCACCCCTCTCCCTTCCCGCGCTTTCCACCTTCCCACTCCCCCTCTCGCGCTTTCCACCTTCCCACTCCCCCTCCCGCGCTTTCCACCTTCCCACTCTTCCCACGCTTCCCTTCCCGCGCTTTCCGCCTTCCACTCTCCCTTTCCTTCTCTGCCTTCCCGTGCTTTCCACCTTCCTCTCTCTTCCCGCGCTTTCCACCTTCCACTCTCCCTTTCCTTCTCGTCCTTCCCGCGCTTTCCGACTTCACCATGATCTCCTCTTCTTCCTCTTCCACTTTTACTTTCACCCCTCTCTTCCTTTCCTTCTCTCCCTTCCCGCGCTTTTCACCTCAACTACAATTCAATTTATTCTTCGGAATCGTAAAAAAAAATTCTGGGCATATTGCGTAGATCACCGATAATATTTCCACGTCACTATTTCCGCTCTCCCACCTGTTCATACTTCGCTCTCCCATATACGCTCAACTTTCCTTTTTTGGCAATCCCTTTCTGCTTCTCCCATGCCCATTCCTTTCCGGTTTAATTTGCCCACTCCGACCCCTTTCATTATTAAAAAGAACTGCACTGGATCTTTCCCTCCCCCTCTCTCAGTCTGCCTCCCTCCCCCTCTTTTCTCTTACTCTTCCACTCGATTGAGCTCTCACCCCAAAAAAAAAACAATTTCATAACCAATAAAAAATATATATATTAAAAATCGGCTAATTCTTCAAAATTGGTAACTTCGGTAAATTCATAAATCATAGAACAACCGAATAAGAAAATCCCAGAGAAAAATAGCCACCGAAAATTAAAAAGTATTTGCTACTCGATTTCTTCTTCCAAACTCACCTCCCCAATATTTGGGCATTTGGCCTCCTCACAAACAGTGTGCAGCTTCAGATCGTGCAGCGACTCCTTCAGCGTCTCGTATCGGGATCCCTGCGCTCCTCTTTGTCGCAACCACGCAGGTTTCTTCGCCTGACTCGTGGTCGTAGGCTTTCCCATCACGGGCGCCGCCTTCCTTCTCTTCACCGAGCCCATGTCCTCCTCTTGGCCGCCCAGATCGATGTCCGACTCGATCCCGATCCCGATCCCGACCGCCTTGGTTGCTGGATCGATCGGCTGGCCGAGAACCGCACTCGTCTGCTTCATCGTGGACGTCGATCTGCGGAGGCTCCAACTCCCGCCACGTGGCAAGCGGAAAGCTTGGCGGGAACGGAGCGCCCCATCGGGGACAACTCCAAGTCCTCTTCTCAGAGGAGACCGTAATGCCCACTGCCATAGCCGCCGCTCACGCACTTCCTGCCCACGATGAGGGAGAAAAAGGCGGCTGCTCCGATCGCAGAATCTTCTCTCGTCGTGAACGCCGCCGGCGAATGACAAAGATGTCGGCGCTAAACGACAAACCGAGCTGCCAGGGAGTGACGTGGCAGCCGCCTGGCGAAGTCCCTTCTCCCCCAGGCACGAGCACGACAGCCTCGCGCCATTGCCCACCTCCATCGCGATCCCGGCAGCCGACACTTGGTACACAGCGCCTATTACGTCCGCCATCGCCGTCAAACACAGACCCGTTCTTCTCCAACCTCGCCCAGCCCGCCCGCTGTCGTATGACAGTTGACCAGTTGATAAGGAGGAACACACCGTTGACCGAGCGGTAAGTCAAACCGTTGCCCCGCAGGTTGACCCGCCCGTCGTCGATCAAATTAAATGGCGACAGGGGCAACAGAGGCGGCAGGTTTACCACAGACCGCCAAATCCGTGCGGCAGCGAGCTCGCCTCATGAAACTGTGGAACTTGGCCCGCGCAGGGATGCCGTAGTGGGACGGACACCGGGCGGCAATTCCCTGTACCGCTCAACGGACCCAGAGGTAGGTAGAAGCGGGACCACAAGGGCGACGTCACTTCTTTGCCCCGCAGCAACCAGCTAAGGGCATCGCCACAACACTCTCGAAATGTGCAAAATGAGAATGAATTTACCGCTAGAACATGGCCAGATGCGCCCGCCAGATTTTTGTCTTTTTCACATTTCGAGAGTGGGGTGGCGAGGCCCTAAGGTGGACATCTTTCTTTCTTTTCTTCTTCAGCAGGATTTGAGCCCTGGGCCGAGGTCCCACTACGGTAGCAAAAAGGATAGGATGGAGCTCCTGACTCTAGATATGCAGAAAAGCAGTTCAGGCGACAGCGGCGGCGGTGCGTTCGCGACAGCGGCAGCGGTGGCTGGGCCACTGGAGGTGTCCGGTCCGTGCTGTAAGGCACGGACCCGAACATCCCGCGTCAGGGGTGAGGGGGATGGGATCGGCTTCGTGTTCGTCATTCTCGAGGCTCCCTGTATCTAGGGAGGGATCTGGACTAGATCCAGAGGGGAAGGGGATAGTTGACACTGTCAACAGAAGAAGGTGGAGACGCGGAGGTGCTCCTGTGGCAGCCATCACCGGTGCTGGAATTGTCTACTGGCGGTATGTGCGGGATGCCGTTCGAGTAGCCGCCGTGGAAGAACCCTATCTGAAGATGAGGGGCTGGGCGACTTAACAAGATGGTTTGGAAGCCAGCGGATATTCCACAGGTCAACGCTCTGGTTCCGTGAAGAGTGAGGTATATACCGCTCCCAAGCTTTGACTCCTATTGGTCGGGTTAAGGACTACTGATTTATCCCAGGTATTCTTACGGACTATTTATGAGTAGGTATTAATTCGGTTTGTTTGTTTATTTTATTCGTAGAAGGTAGGGGGAGTGTAGTAAGTTATCTGTCCCTCGCACGATGGCCGGGGCCGAGGGAGCGTCATCCTCCACGGCTCAGCCTCCACACCCTCCCCCTCCTCCGGCAGGACAACCTTCCCCTCAACCCTCCGAACAACCGTTGAATTTCTCTGATGAAGAGAAGCAGAGGATAGGGGGAATCCTCACTGCATGTTACACGGATGGGATACTTCCTCGTAGATTGGCCCCGAATGCCCCTCCCAACACAGTAGAAGTGGGAGAGGACTATGTAAGGGTTTCGATCAACCCGGAAGTACTTCGAATCCAAGTGGACTGGCTCAGACAACATGCAGTCACCATTCTGTACGGGGATGAAACTACGTCACTCCCGGTGGAAGTTAAAAAACGACTTGTGAGAATATATGAAGATGGCTGGGCTTCCAGTTCGGAAATTACCGATCCACCTAAGAGAGGACTGTTTCGTAACGAATGTAAAAACCTGGTGACATATGTTTCAGCATCCGCACAAGTGGCAACGTTTATGAGGAGCAAAGGGCAGGACAAAGTAACACTAGATGGGAAAACATACACGCTGTCCTTCAAACCTTGGATGAATGATTTTCAATTACAAGAGTGGAGGGAGGCGATGCGCTTCAATTATTTTTGGATTAAATGTTTGCATATCCCAGTCTCAGTGTTACCACAAATTGAATGCGCGGTAGAAGATGCCTTTGGACGGAATTTAAAAGTTTATCCAGCATTCAACGACCCCAACTCCCCGGAACTGTTGAATATCCGATTTGACCTGGTGGCCTCGGCAAGACTGCGTTTCAAGCCATGGCTGTGCGTGGATCTTGCAGAATACGGCTACCTGGAATTGGAAATCATTGGGGCAGATACACCATGGTGTTCTGCGTGCAGACAGTTCTACCACTTTGTGGGAGACCCGTCGTGCCCGAAGAACAAAAATCGAAGCTCCAATGGGCAGGGAGGGCAAAATGGAAATCGTAAGGGACCAGGTGGGCCCTTGCAAGGAGGTGGGAGTAAGCGAAATGAAGAAGATGGGCTGGAGAAGGGAGCTGGTGAGGAGCGACAGGGGGGGAAGCAAGGGGACAAGGAGAAGGAGGGAGAGAAAGAGAAAGAGGAAAGGAACTCACCAGAGGGGGTAAGGGAAAAAGAAGGAAGAAAGCGGGGGGTAAAGGACACCCGGTCAGAAGAAAGGAAAAGGGACAAGGGTAAAGGTCAACGTAATGATGTTAGGAAAGAGAAAGGCGCTCTGGGCAGGAAGCGAAGAGCGGTGGGGAGGAAACCGCTGAAGAAGATCTATCGACAAGTGCGCAGAGAGCCAGTCAAAGAGAAAGAGGATGCCCGGAATGACACGGAGATGGAAGATGCCACAAGGAAAGAAACAGAGACAGAGAAGGAGGAAGAATGGGTAGTGGAACAGAAAAGGCAAGAAGCTGGCAAAGGAGAAGAATCGGGGATCATCATTGTCGATAAGGCGGTAGAAAGAGAAAATGGAACCTCGGACCCCCTACTATTACAGGAAGTTCAGAACGAGGGGAAAGATCCGCGGTATGAGGAAATGGAAGTACACCAGATGAAAGAAGGGGCAAAAGAGCAGACCCCTTCCCCCGATAGAGATAAAAGTGAGTCTTCAACGACTAAAGGGGGAGATAAAGAGGGCGATCACGACCAGTTTCAGGAAATAAGATCGGAAGAGGAAAGGTCGGATACGTCCGAGGACTCTGAGGACTTCGAGGAGGAAATAGAAGAAGAAGATGGGAAAGGCCCCAAAGGAGGGGGGGAGGAGGAGGTTGGAGATGACGAGGATGGGGAAGACGAAGAGGAAGAATATGATGGGGGTGGGGAAAATGGGGATTCTGACACAGATGAAGAAGAAGTGGCGAAAATGGGACTGCTGGGGGTGGTGGGAAAGGCGTTGTCAGGGGAAGAGTGGAAGGAAACCGATGGTAGGGAGGGGAAGGAAGCCGTGGATGAGGACGAAGATGATCTTAGAAGCCTGATGACACCAAAACCCCAGGATTCTTCTTCTCTTAGAAATTTTAAAATCTACACAAATGAGTCCTACGTATTCAAAGCAAATAAGCCCAGTACCGAGTCAAGCACACAAGGTCAAACGGAAGCGGAAGAGAATGAGACGGTCAGGCACGGGATGGAGCTGGCAGTAGTCGTCGATCAGGGGCCTAACGAAAATTTGGGAAAATCCCTTGTACAAAAGGGTAGGGTCCTTTTGACAGACGAGGGGGGCGGTCTAGAATCACCCTCCAAAAGAACTAAGAGAAACGACAACTCTGGGGTAGGAACAGCGAGGAACCTGACCTGGGATCTCTAAAATAAAGGAAACCCAGGGGAAGAATTCAAGGGCCGAAAACGTACTTTGCTGTACAGAACTCTGAGAAAAGAGTTGTCGGGAGTAGGTCCTATGAGAACCATTACGAGAGCCTTAAAAGACAGCGGTCCCACTAAAGAGTACTTGACCCCACTGATATGCTCTGTCACATCTAACGGAATAATGGTTCTCACACGGATAACACAGAATGAGGGGCTGGAACTGCCAGCCATCCCCATTACCAATACTCCTTCGGAAGAGGAGGCGGTGGAGCTAACTAAAAGGCATGTGCTCAACCACATGGGAACAGTGGCCCGCATCCCAACAATCAAAATGAACAGACACCTATCGATAGGAAGCGAAAAATCAACGGTGATATTTCATTTTGTTGTTTTGGGACTGAAGGTAATTAATGATTCATTTGATAAATGATGTGAGCTGCGGGTTCACTGGATCCCGCTCCTGGACTTTATGGGTAATAATGACACTGCGCTGACAGACCTGCACCTTCCGGAAGGAAGGTCGGGCCTGGTAGTCACAGAATGGATAAAACATCAGAGTATCCATGAGCTATTAAGAAACAAATAACTTGCCAAATGGCTGCAGGCAGTTCAAACGAGCACAGGAAATGGAAAGGAGCAGTGCAAAGACAAATTTGGGAACTTGCTCCCAAACCCCCCTTCCGGGGATAGCCGTATCCAACAAGACGGCGGGATGAGGCCTAATGGTCCAACCGCCTAAGATACGGATCGCAACCTGCAATATAAGAGGTTTGGGGGATACGAATAAAAAGTACAAACGTGCCAGACTAAGAAAATGGATGCACTCGGTAAATGTACAAATACTGGGCCTACATGAGACAAAACTTAATAATAGGAAAATAAGGAAAATTGAACCCCGATGCGAGGGCCCTCAAGTGTGGGCCCCGGCAGATGGGACATGTGGTGGGGTAGCCATTTTGATAGATAAAAACCTGGAAGTTGACCCCCTGAATACATATGCTCACCCAAGCGGTCGAAAAGCCTGGATAAAGTTTCTATATCAGAATGAGGAATGGGCAGTGATGACGGTATATGCCCCAGTGGAACTACACCTGCGCGTAGACTTTTTAGCTGATTTACCAAGATATATACCAGATAAGGATAACCTGTTAATCCTGGGTGATTGGAACACGATCTTAATCCCAGGCTTGGACTCGTTGTCCAGATTTCCAACTAGAGCGGACGGGGAGATGCTCAATGAATTAATAGACAGTCAAGCGCTGGTTGACGTATACAAAACACTTAATCCAGAATCGAACCGGTACTCATGATATTGGCCCAGACCAATGAAACGCACAATGGGACCCAGAAGCCGGCTTGATCTTATTTTAGCGAGAGGGGTTCTGTGGGACAGATGTTGTTGGGCAGATGTCCAAGAAAGCTCCTCCCTGTTTTGATGGATGTGGTATCTAAGGATATAATATAGAAAGCCAGACCTCCATTTCGATTAAATGTAAATTTGTTGAAAGATGAGGGGATCAAAACGTGGGTAACAGATCAAATGAAGGATTGGAACCAAGCAAAAAAACTGTTCCAGAATGACGCAGACTGGGCAGAGGGAGGGATCAAGATAGTGCGGTCTGCTTTAATGAACTTTTCACGGATGAAAGCGGCCAATAAATCTTGGAAGGAAAAACAACTGAAACAAATGATAGCCCAAGCAGAAGAAAACATGGGAAAAGACCCCTTTTCAGACTATTATTGGTCAAAAAAAAGGCGAGTGGCACTATTGGAGATCGAAGCCCTAGAGATACAGGCCCAAGCCGATTGGTTGGAATGGTTGAATATCCGGGGAATTGTAGGTTATGATAGAATGACAAAAATGTCATTCAGAACTTTGTTACTAAGACAATCTAGAGGCTTAATTAGAGAATTAGCCCACCCGTTCTTAATTGAGCAAGAGAATGCTTCAGATACGAAAACAATGTGTCAGTTTGCATTTGAATACTTCAGTGACATAGTTTCCACAAGAAGGGCCTATGATAACCCTGACTCGGACCTCTCAGAGGGAAACTCATTTTGGGACTTATCCAAAACTCAACTCCCAGCTGGGGCAACACAAACACTAGAGAACCCATTCACGGTGACGGAACTGCAAATAGCAGCCAAGAGAATGGCAAAAGGAAAATGCCCCCGAACAGATGGACTCCCGGTAGAACTCTTCACAGAATGTTGGGAGGGTTTTAGTCATTTTTTGAGCGAGGTATATAATAATATAAGAGACACAGGGGGGCTTCCCGAAGGCTTTCGAAAGGGATATATCTCGCTACTATACAAAAAGGGCAATAAATCGGAAGTACGTAACTACCGTCCAATATCAGTACTAAATGTAGTTTATAAAATATTGGCAAAAGCATAAGCTATAAGGCTGGCTGAGTTTCTACCTACCCTGATAGGCCCAGAGCAAGGGGCTTTCGTTAAGGGCCGGACGATTTTTGATAATATAATGACCACCCTACAAGGTTATAGCCGCGGAGAAATGAGAAATTGCGGTCCTTCTCCTAGATATGGAGAAGGCTTATGATAAAGTAGGATGGCCTTTTGTCCTAACAACGCTCAAGAGAACGGGGTTTGGGCCACAATTTATTAGATGCGTGAAAGCAATGTATGTTGAAGCCCCATCTGCGGTTTTAGTGAATGGGAGGCTATCAAAAGAATTTAAATTAACGCGTTCACTAAGGCAAGGGTGCCCACTGGCCCCCCTGCTGTTCGTGATCTAGTGGGAGGTAGTGCTAGATAATATAAGACTAAACCCAAGGATCAGAGGACTTGACCTCTCCCCAACAATTCATTGGAAGGGGGGTGCAATAGCGGACGACTTGACAGTAGCCTGTGTGAATGATGAGGCTTCCCTACAGGAACTAAGACAGGTATTAGATCAGTACTGCTTGTTATCAGAAGCTACAATAAACTGGGATAAATCAGTAGTTCTTCTTCCCTCCCCTTATACATTATGTGTAAATTAGGGTCTCAGACAAGTGCCTGCAGAAGACTCAGAAAGACTACTGAGCATTCAAGTTTCTTTCTCAAATTGCGCAGGAACACAGGACAAGATTCTACTAGATAAAGTGAGTGCAAGAGTGCACGGCTGGGCAAGAAATTACAAACTCTCCTTGTTTGGCCGAGCCCTGGTGCTTACAGCAGCGGCCTTTTCTATCCTGGTTTCCGTTGACGGTACATTGGCTGGGTGATAAGGCATATTCTAATATTAAGAGGATAGCGGCTCGTTATTTATGGAAACCCTCGGCGAAGCTGGATGATGGATTTATTATTAAAGCTGCCCGGGATACAATCTGCTTGCCAATATCTGAAGGAGGTTAAGCCTGCTCGATCCAAGGGACCAGAATATTGCTCTATTGACAAAATGGCTGATTCAAGCAATGTTCAGTCCGGAACGCAAGCAGTGGATGTTATTAGCAGAGTACATCTTAATGAAGGAATGGGCATTGCCGGATGGTGAAAGCGTCTGGGTATGCATTGTCCAGACGAACCTGGCACAGCGTAGACTGCATTCAAGACTTTGGTCCGAAATTTTGAAGGCGTGGTGCAAGGTTGAACCAAGCAGACTGAAGGACCCCACTACGAAAATAGAAATACAAAATCAATGTCTGTTTGACAATGATTTGATTTGTCAATCCACCGGTCAGCCATTTACAACAACGTGTGGACCGGGTCATTTTGCTAAATCGTGGATGGAGAAAGGGGTTTACCTCATCAGCCACATCTGGGATGAGGGGAGGCAGGACTGGCTACAACTAACGGAGGTGAGAAAGAAACTTTCGAGACTGCACAAGGTGGAGGAGCACTACCAGTCTTTATTAAATGCAGTCCCTTCTCAATGGAGGAACCTACTGAAAGAGGAGTCTAAGTACACGGTAGGCACTTGGTTAGAACATCCAGAGGACAATAACAGAGTAGTGAGGGTTCTGGATCCGGATTGGAGTCAGGGGATGAGAGTGGAACAGTGGAGAGGGGAAGGGCCTAGGACAGTGATGACCCCACTCACATTTGAACTAGAGACAACAGTGACCACCACAAGCACTCTTCCGGAAGCAAGAGTCTGGGAGGGACGGCATGGTGAGAGAAAATTGATGAAGCTATTGAAGGGAAGTCCGTCGGACTATTTAGTCGAACCCCTACTCTATGGATGGAAAGAAGGAGCGGATAAGAAACCCCCTCTATGTTGGTACACTACTAAAGTAGGGGTAGCTCAGCGACGTCAGAAGAGAGTGACACCTAGGTATATAGTTGAGCGTAGGTTTCAAAAGATCCATGGGACGAATAAGCCCCCACCTGACTACCAGGAACTGTGGAAACGATTGAGAAAACTCCCATCTCGCAGACAGGCAAACCTAATGTGGACTCAGTCGATGGGCCTGACCCCGTCTGCCCTATGGTTACAGTCCAGGGGGATGGAGTTGAGTCTAACATGTTCTAGGTGTAAATGGGGATGAGAGTCAACGAAACATGTGTGGTTATTCTGCCCGTTAGCAGACGAAATATGACTCTTGTGGAAAACCATCTGGGACGCTAGGGCGGGTCAGAGTTGGGAGTGGGATGATGACTGAATTCTGTATGCAAAGCCTCCAGGTAAAGGAAAATGGAACGAGCAGTGGGGCTATGTAGTGTTGGTCTGTAGGGGGATAGTAATGGAGAAGAACAGATTTCAATGCAATAGCAGATGGGGATGATCAAGCAAATGTTGAGACAAACCATTCTGGCGGATTGGAAGAGAGTCAGACTAAGAGCAAGGGGAGGCATTTCGTGGTTCAGGAAAGTCTGGGGAGCAAAAAATGGTTTTGTGGCATTGACAGAGGAAGGCAAGCTGTTATTTTCAGATTGGCTTACAGAAGGTTTGTTTGGCCTCCTAGAGGAATGATTACTGTAGCAGATGAAACACGCTAGGCTCTTATAGCTAGCCCTTTTACTCTGAGCTTCAAGGTTATCTTTTTTTGGAAAGCACGTCAGAAAGGGATGCTGGACCCGGTTTCCAGCAGCTAGGTTCTTTACTGTCGATTCGAGCATGGCTCGTAAGCGAAACTGGCTGAGGCTGCCAGGATAACTCCGGGTCGAATTGTGAGGTCCCCGGCCTCTTTACTTATGTTGTTTGTAATAAATGTCTCATGCTTTCCAAAAAAAAAAAAAAAAAAAAAAAAAAAAAAAAAAAAAAAAAAAAAAAAAGTTCAATCTCGATTTCCTGCACATTTCCATAAACTCATTCAGATTCAGGCCTTCGATCCGATCCTCTTTGCTAGTGGGACCACGCCCCTGCTCTGTACACCATTCTCAAGGCATACTCACACGAGGCCCT